CCACCAAGACACCACCTACTCCCGCACCACTGCCCTCTACCATCACCCTACAAACGGCACCACCACTCCCAACCACCAAGTCTCTCAGTACTCCCATTGGTGGTTCATTGCCACCCTTAACCACCAAGACACCAACTACTCCCGCACCACTGCCCTCTACCACCACCCTACAAACGGCACCACCACTCCCAACCACCAAGGCACCGACTACTCCACCTTCACTGCCCCCTACCACTACCATATCAACCACCTCGCCACCAACTGCTCCACCATCTATCCGAACCACCAAGGCACCAACTACCAAGATACCATCCACTGGAGCACCTCCAACCACTAAAACACCAACAACAATTTCTCCACCAACAAAGACACCGGATCCAGAGAAAAACAATGTCCACGCAAATGAAACTGATGATCATTGTACATGCAGCATTCGTGGACCTGATATAACAGAGGAATCGATATGCTACATTGAGAGAGATTTCATAGGTAAATAGCATATTTACTGACCTTAAACCTTTAAATATTATTCCATAATAACATGTTTTCGTGGGAAATAAACAGAGAATAGAATTCAAAAAATCTCGTATCTGATCCTGTATAGTATAAGCCAATATCCCGTTCCTGAACCGACTATGGGATGATATGTTTATCGCATACCAATCTTGGTCATCTGGTTCACATTGTTCAGTCGTGGAAATATTTTAGAATATTCATGTCCAGTTTTGTTTACTTGGCCGTGGGCGGATTTCCTGTTCTCTCAAATATTCCCACATTTATTTTCTCGAATTTTTTGATTGATTAAGTGGATGCTCCTTCCCTTTTTAAACCATCAAACAGATCCCGATTGTCTGTGTTTTCTCCACTGTCGTTTACAGTCATTACGCGAACGTTACAAATATGCGAGCGGCGATTATGACGTAGCGGGCAGATATACTATATCTGCCCGCTCGGAGCGGGACGTAAAGCTATATCTGCCCGCTGGTGAAAATATAAGTTTTTACAAACCGGCTTTATGTACCTGTAACACGTCCAAGTATGGGATAAATATAAATATCCATATTTCATCCTTCAAATATTCTATACACTAGTAACCTGTCCTCAGTTTATAACTGTGTTTTTTTTATTTCCACAGGTTTGCTCGATCTTGAAGCTACAATTTTATCAATTGTGGCTAAGGCAGAGGGACTCACATCGAATACAGCTGGCGATGAGTTAGTTAGCCTTGAGACACTTATTGAACATTTAGAACTGAATTACCTCAGCCAATCTATGAATATTAATTACGAGGTACATGCATTACTTTTCATATACTTATACTTCATATAATTAATGCAGTCCAGTTTACACGAGACCAAGCAGATAAACAATGTAAAACTCAATGAAAAAAACAGACTTGCTAACCCCCCTATCACACCAAACTCGTTCTTACCCGTTCTTGCCAGTCCTACGAAAACGTCGTAAAACGGGCTCAATCTGGCTGTGGTCGGGAAATATGTCTGAAATAATTAGCTTCTTCGTTCTTAGACAGTCTTCAATACGTCCATCTCGTTTGCAGTTCGTTCAGGTCGCACCACGTCGGTGTGCAACGTCGTAGAACGCGTCCCTTAGTCTAGAAGGTCATCATGACCCGATAACAGAACGGTATGGTCGCCATCGAATTTTGAATCGATTCAAAATTCTAAAATCACATTCCCGTCTGAGAACGTTCATGAAGTTCGTAAATAGACCTTAGAAAGTTGCAGCTACGTTCATTCCGTTCGCACACAGTTTAGAACCAGTTTTGAAGAACGCAGTGGCAACTTGTTTGGTGTGATAGCTATATTTTTGCTAACTCGTTCATAAGCAGTGTTAAATACGTTCTTAATCAGTTTAAACCCGTTTGCAATGAGTTCTACCTCGTTCTCAACAAGTCCTCAGACAGTTCAACTCGTTGTTAAAACGTCCCTAGTAGGATTGAAATACGACGGTTCCGTTCGTAGTACGTCCAGCTCGTCGTTAGTACGTTGTCACTCGTTCTAATTGTAGAACGTGACGACCACGAGAACATTTTGAGCATTGTCTAAGTTCTAGAGGACCTACCCGTTCGAGTACGTTCGATGAAGTTTGTAAATAGATCCCAAACGGTTCTTAGTACGTCCAGTCCGTTCGTACACAGTTGAAGTCCGTTTTCGAGAACGTAGTGAGAACTAGTTTGGTGTGATAGTAGGGTTAGGAAGAAAAAGTATGTTTCTCATGACCTAACCATGCAATATTATATCTAATAGCTGTGATCATAACATAGGGGCAATTGTCAGACAAAAATATTACAAACTGTTATAAAAAAAATGTTGAAAAAGTATATACATAGTCATAGAGAAAATCAATTTTGGTCCGGAATTTCAAAGATGGATAGATACTCAGTTATACTCAAATATTTCTGAATTTGGATCAAGGTCTGAGGCAGGACTGTCCATTAAGTTCATTGCTTTTCATCCTATCAACAGAAATGAAAATTTACAATCGTTAAAGCATACTTCTGATGACATAGGCATAGCCGGGGGGAGGGGTACGATGGGTGCCATCAGCCAATAAAAATAAAACCAAAACCATGAGATAGAAGAAGAAAGGAGCTTTAAAATGTTTTTTATTTAAATCTTTTTGAAGGAAGTTGCATCTTTTGACACCTTGACTGAAAACCGAATTTTCTTTGGCGATAGTAGATATAAATCGAGAATGTCCAGACAACCCACTTGTAGACTTTTACACCAAAAAAACATCCCTGGATGTTTTAGATTGATCCATGAAACCAGTTGGCTCAAAACGTGTAGTAGTGACTTTACAGACAAGATTTTATGATAGAAAATCCAAAAAGGAGGAGATATATGCATTTTTGACAATTTTGTTTTACAAAATCAACTCATAAGACTAATGTTAACAGTGACATAGGATTTTACAATGCAGGACACCTGTAATTATTCATACAGCTAGTAACTGCTGAAAAATTATGAACGACAAAAATGGCAGCCATTTTGAAAATAGGCAAGAATGTAAATAATATTGTATTGATAACAAGTATAAGCAAGTTTGAATATGGACAGCATACAATGAAAGTTGGCAAGCTTACTTGAACAAGTGCTATGTATATCCAAACGAATAAAAAAATCTAATTGCAACTTGGTACCTCAAAATAGTGTTCCAGTAAAAATATCAAAACACCAAAATATTAGATTTATTTTTTTCTTGTAGTCTTTAGAGGAAATCAAAGAAAAACTTCAACAAATCGCATTTGTTGTGGAAAATCTTGATGTTAACAAGACAGCGGAGGCCCTAGTGAACCAGATGACGGCAGATATGTGGATCGCTTCAGAAGAGGTGGATGAACGCATGGAACAAAATAGTGTTTACATTCACAAAGGTTTAGTGAACCAAGTAAGCCATTGAGCAATCGACTCTTTGTTTCTCTTAGAATTCGAGCCTGGAGACCAATTCATACTTATCTATCTGTTGTAAAGTCCAATCAGAGACATGTAATAACATTGAACTCTGTTTTTATAGTTTTCAGTGTTAGACTTGGAGACCCGGGCAGTTGGCTGTTCCATACAATAGTCTCATAGTATTGATTTACTCTTTGTTTCTCTTAGATTGCAGACCTGGAGACCAAGGCAGCTGGCTGTGCCATAGGTGGTGAGAGCATTGATGAAATAGGGGCATCATATTTCCTAGGAGATTCAAGACCTATTAGAGATTTGGACCAAAGTTTGTATAATTATCATTGCCTTGATGTTGTTAATATAAGTAGCCATCAATATTCAAAGCTGTTTCAACATTTCGTCCCATTATTTCCACATTGTTATAACTCACTTTTAGGTCTCCGGTTTTGAGATAAGGTAACTATCTTTTTCAATTTCTCACGAAACATTCACTCCTGAGGTCCATTTCAATGGATCTCATCTCCTTTTGAAGATATCCAGTGCCACACATTGTTATAAGTGCAAAATGAGGAAAAGAATTTAGGCCAACCTTGTCATATCCGTTTGGGTAGGCAGCAGAGCCAATCAGATACATAATTTTGATCATGTGACTAATAGTTATAACAATGTGGAAATAATGGGATGATATCTTACTAGAATAGTATACTTTGCAGGTAATTAACAAAGGAGATCATAAATCATGACACCATACATGTAGTACAAACAAAAGAAACCAGATGTGACATTATTTGTAACAAAAACAAGTTCATTCAGTGAACTTAACCGGTTATAGCCTTTTTACCTTTGTCATGTACCTTTTAAAGATCTGGTGGATTATCCAAAATATTTACAGTTGTGTTGTTATGGCAATCACTTGACTAATCATGGTCAAACTTGTCATAGCAACTAATAATATAAAGATACATAATCCCTAAAATATTAATGTGACTGAAGGTACAGAAATTATTGATGCTGATCATAGTACCCCCTCATTAAAGTAGCAAGGATGTATAAATGGCAATGATTCGCAGATGCTGAAAAACTAGACTCTATTATTTTCAGAATCAATGGGAAACGATATAGTTCAAATAATTAAGATAATTAGAAAAATGCAATCCTGTAAGCAAAAACGGACAAAGCTCATCCAGTACCTTATCAGTCAAAATGGAACACGAGTCATATTCTTTATAATTAGATAGGCAGAATAATGGTTTTACCACTCAAAAGTTATGAAGATCTAAACTTCAACCTCTGATTTCTCATAATATCAGCGAAAATGCAATTGTAACAATGTGGAAACAATGGGACGATTTATATATTGAAAAACAATACATACACGACAACATGCTGAACTTATTTTCTCTGTGGTTCCATACCACATTGAAACAAAAATCTTGTTTACATTATTATAGTACTAAGCACATAAACTAAACGATTTGAAGAAGAGCACAGCTCTATAAGTGAAGGATATAAAGAGTCTTATCATACATTTAAGCTTTAGATAGGTACGTGATAGAATTGACAAATGACTATCTTTTGTATTTTCAGGCTTCTGTGAACGTAACACCTTCACAGGCGTTGGCTGGCCAATGACACACTCCATTGAGTCTAGTGTGGGATGGTGGATGAAAGACCCAATACCAGACTCTCCAGAGAATCGCACTGCCATCTATTACGTGGGCGGAAATAGTGGTAATCTATACATGTACAAGTGGAACAACTATCATTCTATGTGGACCCGTACCTCAAAGACTAGCCTCGGCCAAACAGCCAAGTATTATTTTGAATATTCATACACAGAGTGCATTTGCAAATGGTATTATATAAATGCATTGTACTACATACATATCCATAATTATATGTAATATGAACCCATGCTTTAAAGACTTCCCTTCGTAACACAGCCAAATATGATTTTGGTTTAATTTGGACATGGCAATGTGAATTGCATGATACATCCACATAATTTAGTTTAGTGGTTTTGTAAACGAGATACTAGTTCCTTCAGCCATATATGAGTTAACATTGATTCAGAGTTGATAAATATCCGATTTTTTAACACATGAAAATGATCTGAGGATATGTACAGCTTAGTTTTGTTTTTCCTGTTTCAGACACATGTATGGGACAAACCATGCATTGTTCAACGGATCCCTCTACTACTATTCGAGTCAAAAGACCATTGAGAGAGTTGACTATAGAACATGGTCACCAAAAGCATCGGTAATATGGATTTGTTTCTATTGTTTAAATTGGATTAAAACACAAAGTAGTCTACATGAAAACAAACCTCCAATGTGGGTCAAAACTGCTTTTTTTAATTTATTACCACATATTTTTTAAACGTTTAACCATAGGAGTAGTATACGTTAAAATCAGTATGCAATATGTGAAATCAGTGTATGTCTAGTCCTTTATAGCGCATCTATTAAATTGGAGATAACATTGCTGGGAAGTGACAATTTCAACAACACATAAGAAAGGAGTGGTATCGATATAGAGAACTGAATTCAACAATGTTTTTCTCTTAAACCAATCATTGAAAACATTCCGTAAAAACACGGTATTTTATGTAATGTTGACTGTTTGACAACAATTTAATGCTAAAATTATTTAGAAATATTTTATATAACTGTTTTGTTAACATTTTTTTTTTAGTGCAATGGTTTTTGCTCCTTTCTACCAATTCTTGAGAATGAAATAAAATGTCTTTCCGAACCTTGTTGGAACAAAATAGCATATACAACATGTTTTAGACCTCTCAATATTATAGTTATACAAAGGAATTTTTGGTCGATTTTAAAAAAATATTCAAAAAATTAAAACAAAATCCCCCCCAAAAAGATAAAATTCGAGATAAACCTTTTATTTCATTAACAAGATACTTTTTAAAATCAACCAAAATTTCCTTTGTACAGTTACAATATTGAGAGACCTAAACACGTTGTGTTTATGTCGTTTTGTTCCAATGAGGTTCGGAAAGATGTTTCATTTCACTCTGGAAACATGATATCAAGAACAAAACAAGTGTTTGATGTGTTTTCTAAAACAATATAGATAAAAGTATATATATATATTTTCAAATTATATTGTTACCATTCAAAAGATGACCATTAAATTGACGATGTGTTAAATTTTTAGATTTTTTATGACTGGTTAAGAGAAACGTGTGTTCAAAAAGTTCTCCATATCGATACCACTCCTTTAGTGTTTATAAACTGTATGAATATTGAGGGGGGTCTAAAACTGAGCCTTTTGGTACAGCATATTGAATTGTATTTTACTTAATCATTCTATATTTAATATCTCTTATTCAAATCTTAAACATTCAATACTTTACTCGGTTTTCAAACTAAATCTTGGGTTGTAGTAAGTTGGCTTACTTTCTCCCTCTAAAATCTCTTAAAATTCTTACAGGTGTCTATTCCCGAGGTAGAGGCTGTGCCAAACTATAACCGTGGTGGTGTCACTTACGTGGACATCAACATAGATGAATATGGACTCTTCATTGCCTATATCCAGAAAGGTGACACTATTACAGAGTTAATTAATTCAGAGGTGATCTGTAGGGCAACTTGTCCAAACAACATGTAAAATAAAATGTAACAGTAATTGTTACAGTTTAACCTCCTCCACTAGGCTATATGTTATTTGACGCTGATTAAAGACCCTTTGTTTTACACCAAAATGACTGGCTGTGATTCAAAGTAGAAAAATAATCGAATTAAAATTAAAGAACGATATATTTGAGAATTTGCATAAACAATGGCCAATATTCTACATTGCAAAAAAAGTTCGGAATAAGGTCATCATTTGACACTCTGCCTTTTTGTAAATGTAGGTTATCTCATACTTGTTACTTTATGTTGCGTACTCTTGTACAGTTTGGGGTTTTTAAGGTTCCCTTCCCTTTTTTAATATTATAAAATATATTACTTACTGTCTCGTTTCGCTTACTTGAAGATTTTTGTTTATCCCTATTATAACATGTTTAACCAAGTTTGTCTTATATTATGTCATTGTTAATATTCAGACTGGACATGGAAGGACATGCCAAACACATGCATAGATGCTGAAACCTTAACAGCTACCTCAGCATCAACTTTGGAGGAATGTAAACAGAAATGTGTGAATGAGGGAGGATTTAGGTGTATGTCCCTTGACTGGAGTCTCCACCTCAAGCAATGTAATCTCAAACTGCGTTATTCTGGGAATCATCCTCTTACCTCGCCATGCACATATAGATGGCACAAGTACTATTGGCGTACAGGACAATGGCATCACTCTGAACGAAAATTTGCAGATCCAAAAAGCAAGTACTCGTATTATCAAATCCTGTAATATGTTAAGACGTTTTTGAATTTTTGCAATAAGCAACAGCCAGGAGTAAATAATAAAACAAATAGTGCCTACGACTTTTTCCAACGTCGTAGAAATACTGCCTTAGCAATCATTGGTACGCTTGGAAATGAATGTCCAACAAGTGACATTAGCATATTTACTGGATTGGTCTTTTCCTAGAATCGGAGAAACTAAAACTGAAATTTTTTATCATGTTATTTCAGGAGCATCCTACATCCAAATTAAACAACTCAACCCGATTGATCTGACAGAAATACGTCATTGGAGCACTCATGTTGCTAAGAGTAGCATCAGTAATTTGTACTTTGTGTGCGGCGTTATGTACACCATGGATTCTTCGAACACACCAGTACCTAGTAGGAGCCAGTATGCATTCGATACAAGAGGTAGAACTTTTTCACATAAACAAAAACCCTAGTCTACCCCTTACTGTACTTTTTTCGAAACATAATCTGACTACGGGTAGCCTATGACTAGCATGCCGATTTGACAGTCTCTCTACATGAAAAACTTGGTAACATTCGAAATTAAAAATTCCAGATTCCATCTTTGTCAACATTTTTTCCAGTTTTCAGGAAAAACGTCTGATTGGAAAAGAATGATTTATCGTCCATGTGACATTATACGAGCAGTCGATGTTTTTTTTTTCATTTTCAGCTGATGGTGGAAGAGGTGCGAGTTTTATGACCAAAATCGCGATCCCTGCCGTGTACAAAAATATGATTCAACTAAGTTATGAACCAAATAACAGAATGCTATTTGCGATGGATTCTTCACATCTGATGACATACACACTGATGTTTGAACCCAAGGCAGTCTCTAATGCAACTACCACTCCTGCGCCCTAACATATGGTTTGACTTGGACTGAACTTTCAATTCTGAAAATAATGGCTCGCACACTGTAAACTTATACTGATATTGTTTTAAAAGGGCTCAGTGGCTATTTTTAATCCTAAAATACTTAGTATACCAAGATGGTACGAAATTCAGTAACTTGCTCCACCAATAGACGTTGTTCCAGAACTTACATGTATTTCCTTTAAAAATTTAAGCGACTATTTGTTTGCTCCCATTGTAATTGAATTTAACGCATTTTAGAGATCATAAGAGGTACACGCATTCCTTGTTTTGCACATGTCATAATGATAGATTAGCAGGAATTTTTTTCAAGCTTTGGAATTCTTAGCAGAGAAACTTCATGATGGTGCAAATTGTTGGGTGTTATAAATTTCAAACATTGGGTTATTTTAGAAACTGCTCCCTCTCTGATTAAATAAAGGGCACATTTTGGCACCAACAAATCAGAATCATCCAATTTTTTAAATGTCTATTTTAAGTATTTAAGTCTAGAATAATTAATTAGTTCATAAGTTTACAATGTGTGGTCATGTCTACAATTCAACTGTAAGGTATCTTGGACTTGTAAATTGGATATGGACATATGCAAGACTATCAGAATCTTCAAATATTAAATATTAAATAACTGTTGGATAACTTGAATCCTTCATTAGATATAATTATTTATCTCATAGTTGTGATTAAATTCAACAACATCTTTATACTTTCTTAAAACATTTCTGTTCTTTAGTAGAGAACAAAAATGCAATAATTTCAATTTGTAATTCTTTATTTCTTCAAGTGTACTCTAAAAATTTCATGTACTTGAATTTTAAATTAACAGAATAATAATAGAAACTAAGAATTCTAACATCGTTTTGTGTTATGAATTGACAACAATAAATAAAAGTTCACATTTTAGATTTTAGTGTCAATCAAAATTAAAATTGACAATAGTGCAAGGTTCCTGTACTGATTAATACACATACCAGGATTTGGCTGTTGCCATCTTTGTACCAGGTGTATAACAGAGACATAATCAAAAATGTGCAGACTTCGATTAATTATATGCATAATCTTGTTCAAACCAAAACCTGGTATGATTCAATCAGTTCAAGTCTAATGAACAGACTTTGAATAGATTTTGAAAATATTCAGAATATAATTATAACAAAAAAGTAAAAAATAGGCCTATATCACAGTTTCAATAGACTAAACATGCATGGCACAAGTAAACATCATGTATTTTCATTTACAAAACATGTAATTTCATTACAAAAGACTGTAAAAATTCACTATATTTTGGTATTATATACCCAACTTCCAACTAAAGCAATAATCATATTATGACTGATATTAAAAAATTACTATGGCACATACAGTAAACAGCAGAAATTAGTCTTGCATCAAACTTCTACATGTATATTGTTAATCTTCCTCTTATAGACCATGACATCACCCAAAACAGAATCCATCATCTTCAAAGGAAGGTGAATCTAAGCAAGCATACAAGTATGTACCTACTATACATGTCAGGGACTAGAATTCTGTGCTACAAAATGCAAAATTCTGCAAGAAAAAAATTAAAATTCTGCAAGCCAAAATCTTCACTTCATTTCACTGCATTTTTTCGAAATAGTGTGAAAATCAAAATCAAACTGTCATATTTTTCAAACGTGCACATGTACAGGGTGTCCAAAAAACAGGACCGTAAGAAAGTTGAATAACTCGGTCAATTTTGCATATTTTGCCTTGAAATTTCAGATTTATTTAGTTCATTCAATGTGAATTTTGTTGTAAAATTTTGATAATAATCTACCAATTAAGTCAAAAACTACAGCTCCCTACAAAACATGCCCCAAATGTGCAAATCTCATCTCATGCACAATTCAATCCGGCGAACAAACCTGTTGATGATCCTCCTACACACATGTCTTTCTGAATGGACAAGTTTGTTCCAAGAACAATTGCTACTGGGGCTTACATTCTACTGATGAAGTGTTACAGCATCCATTGCATTCTGAACAATGCACTCCCTGGGTGGCAATGAGGAAACATGGAATCATCAGTCACTTTTGGTTCGAAGGTGACTGGGAACTTGCTATCACCATGAACAAGGACCAGTAAGTTCTCACCAAGTTTTGGAGGTCACTAAGCACCAGAAGGGACATCTAAGGAGATAATAAGCAGTGGTTTCAACAAGCCAATACCACCCCAACACTGCAAATGATATGCTGAAATGGTTTAGGCAATGCTTTGGTGGTCAGCTCATCAGTTGCAGAACGCAAACCATATGGGCAGCTCATTCGCCTGATCTAAACCCCCCAAATTTTTGTCTTTGAGGATTTCTCAAAGCCAATGTGTATACTGACAGGCCCCTAACAATCTTAAGAGGGCAGTAACTACCCCATTATTTACCATCCACATTAATATGTATAGGTAAGGTTCATTAACAACTTTGTTTGCAGGATTCGTTTGTGCATAGAGAGGAGAAGTGCCCACTTTGAGTATGTTTTGTAAAGGACTGATTATCATCAAACTTTCAGAACAAAATTCACATTGAATGAACTAAATAATTCTTAAATTTCAAGGCAAAATATGCAAAATTGACCGAGTTATTCAACTTTCTTACGGTCCTGTTTTTTTTGGACACCCTGTATCTGAACTATTTCCATGTTTTTTTTTAACATTAAGATTTATCAAAAATTAAAAAAATAAAGCTTTCTGTTTAAATCACTACACAAGTGAGCTACAAATGATTCAAACCATCTACAAGTACCTAAAACAATGCTAGGTAAGCTTTCAGTTCAATTTATGTTCTCAAAGCATGAATTCCGAGAAAACACTGCGAAAATGAACAGAAACTCAATATTCCGCAAATTTTTGCAACACTATAAATTCTGCATTTTTTGTTGCAGTGCGGAAAAACGGAATTCTAGTAGCCCTGACATGTACAAATAAGTGATGGAAATCCAATGAAATTGAACAGTAATACATAATAATACTTTTTATCTTACAAAAAATGAAATAATCCATGGAATGTTTCATTTCTTCATTCCGAGACAATAGTACAGTCTTAACCACAACACGAGAAAATGCTCAATGTGAAGCAGAGCACCATGCATTCACATAGAACCACTCTTGTTTTTTTGTGTAAAATACTGTTGTAGAATACTACAGCGTGGGCCAAAAAACGTCACTTTTTTTCAAAATGCTTCAGCTTTTTCAATTTTTGATCCAAAATCATAATTTGCATACCAAATGAAACTTTAGGATGCAATCTAGCCATGGATTATGAATTGTGTACTTTTTATTGAATAAAATATGTCACCAGCAATGTGGTGCGCCATGAGAAATTAACAGAATTTGCATAATGTACCTAAACTGATATGGCCTGATGACTACCGAGCTAATAGTCCTGATGTAAACCCAAGTGAGTATAGGGTACAGGAAGGTATCTCCAAGAGATGGTATAAAGGCATCTAATTTCAAACATTGCACAACTCAAGCTGGCAATTAAGACAGGTTGATAGAAACTTAGTCAACATTTCATTAATACTGCTATATCAGCATTGCGACTAAGACTTAAGGCTATCATCAGAGAGGGTGGCGGACCAATCAAATTCCAGTTTTTGATCAAATACAATTCAAGTTGAAGGACTTGTTATATTATTTCATTACTTCGGACCCCTGGCCCCCTATATAACTGCAAAATTTGGTGTATGTAGGTTGGAAAATGAAAAAGTAAGTGTCTTGAAAAAAAGTGACGTTATTTGGCCCACCCTGTATGTAGCTTCCTAAATCATTGTATTCCTTGTAGTCTTGTTTCAAGACCCTTGAACCGCCCCCCCCCCCCATATCAAATTCTACAACCAAATTCCCAATCGGGTGATCCAGGGGGCAGCATCTACCCTGTTGTTAAAGTAGATACTGTAAGGGGGGGGGGTCCAGGGCTTGAAGCAAGATATATTCCTAGCATCAATTCAATTATTTGAGAGTTTTTAACCATGTTTCTAGTTTAACAATTTGCTGGTTAACACTAGACCTGGATGTTCCACCAAAGGCACTGTACTGCTCAACACTATTCTCATAGTCCCACACCTTTTCAACATCCGATTCAAACTTGGGGCTGAAATGACATATAACAAGGCATTAATATGCAAAATGTCACCACCTAACATTTGTATAGACACTGAAAGCGAACCTATGTGCAGCCTACCGAGACTATAACATTAGTCTCCAACTCAAAGGGATTTACATTGTAATATTCTGTGAAGAAATAAATATACATTTATCTTAAAAAAATACAAAAAACTATACCAATACAAGTGTATGTCACCACCACATATAAATGTTTGGTACTACACCTCAATTACTTCACAAATTTCCAATTCTCTTTTATTTCTATTACCATGGTTACCATGAACACAGAAAACCAAGGTGACAGCGTATACATATTCATAAAAGCATGATTATCGAATAAATTAATAAATTATCAAAAGATATTGTAGTCTACCTGATGGTTTTTAAATCATCAACTGTAAGTTCATTTAATGGAACACCCTTGGCTTCTGCCAATGCCACACACCCTCCAGACATTCCATGAGCCTCCCTGAATGGCACCTAATCATGTGTAAAACATACAATTAAATTATTACTATATATGTCAAAGTTTAAAATATCATCACTTAGCTTTATGAAGGCAAAAATGTCTAAGACACATTTTTAAAGCACCAAACGAAGTTATAAAAGGCTTCCTTTCAAGCAATATATACATTATGTACCCTGTAAATGTACAGTTATATGTTACATGTACATGTACATGTACATGTAGATCACTTACCCCTTTTCTAACAAGATAGTATGCTAGATCTGTAGCTAACATATCTGGACTAAGAGCCTTACGCATATTGTCTTTTTCAATCTGGAAATAACAAAAAAACTGGAGTAACTCAGGAAGCAATTATTAGAAATACTATGGCAACAGTAGGTACACCCTGTAGTTATCATTTTCACCACCAGGTGGCTTACTCTGACGAAATAACAGGCAGACAAAAAGTTCCCATAAACTCGAATTGAATAATTTATACATTCATTGGATCAATTTTCATGAAATGCTTTCGAGTTTGATAATTATGTCATTCAAAATGTAATCAGTAAAAAAAAAGTTGTTCCCAACATGAAAAGATATTTCACTATTTCAAAGTTGACAAAATGACCAATTTCATAAAGAGGCAGTGAAGGATAACACTTCTTCAAAACTCATATTACTTCACAGATGTCTTAGAATGAACCATATAATGAATTCGAACATAACTGTATTCACGCCTTCTATAAACTGTCAACATTTCACCTGGGATATATTCGCGATCAAAACCCCTGGTAATACGTGTAATTTGTGAAGTCATAACGGTGGGTCGTAGAAATGGGGGACCATGATGAATATTCGAAACATTTTGGTTTTCATGTTCAAATCGTAATATAGACCTCAGAGCAGGGATAATATCGTTGAATACACCCCTTAGGGCCAGGCACAAAAGCTAGGCACAGAAAACATTTGTGCCTAGCCCTGCGGGGTGTATTCGACAATATTACCCCTGCTTTTCGGTCTATATTTCTTAAATAGACATCAGTAGGTCATTCAATAAAAAGCTTCAAGTACCTTTAAAGTAGACAATACACCAGTAGCCACTTGTAAGATGCCAGCCATTGTATCATACACATCAAACATAGCTTCTTTATCCTCTTGCAGGTCCTTATTATAGGTACTTGGGACACCCTTTAATGTCATCATGAAACCAGCTTGCTGGAAAATAGAAAAAAAGTTTTTTAACTTAGGGTGAATCACAAAGTAGGGGTGATGCACGTACCAACTAGGGGTGAATCACATCGACTAGGGGTGAATCACAAACTAGGGGTGATGCTCAGACCAACTTGGGGTGAATCACATCAACTAGGGTGAATCACATACTAGGGGTGATGCCCGGACCAACATGGGGTGAATCACATGAACTAGCGGTGAATCACAAACAATAAACAGAGGAACAACAACTGGAAACCATATTTAGGTGTATTTTTCTGTAAAACTTCACTTAGTACCCCACCTGAACTCAGACACCACTGACAACCCTCTTACATCATTACACCATACATTCTATTCTGATTAATAAATTAAATATTAGACTTACATGACCAAAGATACGTCCTGCCTTCCCCCTTATTAACTCCAAACTGTCTGCATTCTTTTTCTGGGGCATAAGACTACTCCCTGTGCTGCAATTGTATGGCAATGATATACTATATTACACCATGGTTAAATCAGGTAAGTGATAAATCCTGTATTTGGTATTCTCGGATTTAAAATAATTATAAGCTTTAACCTTAACCTCTTGACTACCTGGAGTGACCAGATTTCTCGTCACTTCAGAAATGACCTTGAAACTCAGAGTGATGAGAAAATCAGTCCGAAATTTTCACTAAAATTGCTCTTATTTGAACAATTTTCATCCAATTTACACAAAAATTGTTTTAAAAATGTGTAGAAATGATCTTTGCCGTCTAATTTTACTAAGTTGAGCACCTCAAGTTCTATAGCTACAATGCTACATGTATGTTGTAAAATGTCAAAAGGTGGCAAAAATGAAAAATTCTCTGGTTTCAACCGATTTTAGAGCCTGGGGTTCAAGAGGCTGAAATACTTACTTATCTGTTTCTAAGCTCAAAAGGAATAAATTCACCAACCTGTATGCATCAGAGAGTGAGACAAAGCTGAATTCTTTACTGCAGTATAATATAAGGTCCTCTGCCCAGCGGCTCAAATGTGTTGAAGTTAATGAAGCCCAGAACAGAAACTCAACTAAAAATAAAAAGAGAAAATTATGAATTATGATCGGTATGTGGTGAAATCGTGGTACATGGTCAAATCATGGTAATAAAGTAATGTTTGAAAATGATAAAAATTCAAACAAAAGCTGAAGATTTCCAATATTTCTTACATGTTCATTCATTAATCAATTGACAATGTAGATATAACACTGGTGTTTATTTGTTTGGAGGATATACACTATTCCTAACAGTAGCACTTCAATGCATACACAATATAAATATGAAAATTTAATTATGCAATTCCCTGGAGATACATGCAGGATGGGCCAAAAAGTCTCCATATTTTTTACTTCAATATAACCTATATAAAATGCATGGATTTTGGTATAAAAAATTTGAAAAATGGGCATTTTTAGCCCACCCTGTATAAATCATACTTACCCACAAAATCTCTATCACTGACTGCATCAAGGCTGTTAGATGTCACATCAGCAAACTTGAGCTCCCTTGCAAGGAATTCACGGTCCACTTCAAAGGGATTTCCTGCAAGAGCACCACTGAAAAATATTTGTTAGAAAATCATTTATACAAATTCAAATAACATAATATCTAAATATCAATGAAGGGTCACATACATGTACACTCTAGTGCATGTAAGTCAAAGATACAACAAGAAAGAAATTTTAAATTACCAAATATGATAACATATCATAAAACTATATTCTACAGTAACACTGTTAAAAGGCAGAAAGGTAAAATATATTTCGATGAGTATGTTTGTTCTTTTGAACACATGCTCTTAATAGTTAAAATCAATGTCATTGAACTATATTCCTCAGTATATTCTACCTTCCAAGTGGCAGGAAGTTGACACGTCTTGCAAGTTCATCTAAACGCTGCGTGTCTCGCTGCAACATGGCACCATAGTTCATCAGCCAGTGGCTCCATCTGATGGGCTGAGCCCTCTGTAAATGCGTGTAGCCTGGCATAAGGACATCCATTTCTCTAAAGGTACAGTATGTTTACATATACAGTAAAACCTCTGCAGTGAACACCTATGGAGCCACAAAATGTGTCCACTGTAGATAAGTGTTCACTACAGAGGCAATTATATACAGAAGTCAATGGAGTAGTGCTGAGAAGGGGTGTTCACCAGACACAGGTGTTCAATATAGAAATTATCACTAAGTTTCACCGTAATAGCATTATTTTGAAGTTAGTTTGTCTGATGTCATGTTAAATCATAACTTCATATTCTATAATTTTGCCTGTTGTTTTCATACATGTTGCCTATTGTAAGAAATGTTATGAAACCCATGGCATTAGAAAATGTAATGGAGAGTCAGTCTCATCAAACACACAGATTTATCCCCATATGGGGGGGGGGGGATTTACACTATCATGTAATAGGAAAATTGTCTCCTGTAAGATGATGGGATTCAATCTAGCAATCATTGACACAAGAAGATAATGATACAAAAAACAATATTTTAGCAAGCAAGTTTAATCAAATATTTGCACGATCTACATATATCTTGCACCGATCAACTTGCACTTATTCTCAAAACATAAAATTTCATAAGTGTTTTGCAGTGTTGACTTACATTTTGGCTCTGTTAACAAACACATTTAAAAGCTCTATAACATAGGACTTCAAAGTTGCAAGGTTGTCTCTCAGCCAGAGTCTCATATCTGTGGCCACCTGGTCATTCCTACTCCTACCAGTGTGTAGTTTACCAGCAGGGGTCCCTATCAACTCCTAAAATACAAGGTTATTCAGTTGCTACAGTATATAGGGTTAGTTCAGTTGTTAAGTTGTTATAAAGGGGCAGTTTGGTTGCTCAGCTAATATACAGGGGCAGTTTGGTAGTTATTCGGCTGTGCATGACAAATGGAAATCAGGAAGTTGTTGGCTATTGAGGTGATTCATACATGGATAGTATGGTTACTTTATATTCAATGCTCCAATTGCTGACACAATCATTGTTTGGGAGTAATGCAGAAACCCTACAATTTTACAGTTATGGAGTTTCCTGAAATGTATTAACCCTTTCCCGACGTGAATATAAGAGGAAAATGTTGGCCCTGGTGACGGATAAGTAAGAGCAGTTTTTAGGGGAAAACTGAAAATTACCTATGCCCAGGGACCTATACCTTGAATTTTATCACTGAAATACATTTTTTAGTAAGGACTATCGTATTAGAACAACTTGTCAAAATTTGGTGTAAAAATACTGAATAGAACTGGAGATATTATCATTTCATCGATGTATATAAATAAAAATTATGGTGCCAAAAGGAGCCTATCGTCCTGAAAGGTATTACATAATAGGGCTCCATATGGAGCCCATCGTCGTGAAAGGGTTAAACATATGTTAAAACTTATACACTCTACTATACCAACCCCTAAAAATGCATAAGATAGTGTTTGTCCAATTGTTTACATGTAGTATATTTTTGAAAGTACCTTATTTACATCTAACCGTCATCCAATAAATCATTCATAAGGTAGCAGACACATAAAAAAGCCAAATGGGTTGCTCATGAACACCAAATGCAAGGTATAGTAGAGTTTAATATACTGCACCTTTAGTCTGCGTTCATTAGCAGTATGTATATCTTCATCGCCAGACTTGATCTGGAACGTCCCCTGTGACCACTCAGCATGTACTTTATCCAAGCCTTCTAGTATCTGATCTCTCTCTTCAGAAGTCACTAAACCAACTTTCTCAATAGCTTGTACATAGGCCTTGCTCCCCTAATAGTAGAAAAACAAATGATAAAAATTGTGAAAGATTCGTCAAAAGATTAGCCTTATTATCCCACGAATAAAAACTTTGTAAGACATTTGACTACATTCCATGCTGCAATCTCAATAGTTAGCCGGCCTGTAGCCAGTTTTTGCCAAAGGAGGGGGGGATTTCACTTATCAAAAAATCCTAGAGTTGTCCACATTTGACAATTTTGGCCCAAATCCTCTGACTATGGGCCGGTTAGCCCAATAGCTCAGGTTGTACAGAGAGGCCTAGATTAAGATAAAAAAATAGCTGAATGATACAGTATGCATTGTACAAATCCTTGGTTTCATTGTGTGTGTTAGAATATCCCGTGTATTGAAAAATATGTGTCAATAACTCTCAAATAAGTTAAGTTTCAAATTGTATATGCTTATGTTATATCGGTTGAAATTGACTTTAATCCTGTATAGATCACGACATGATCCACCATTCTTAAACAATGTTATATCTGCAATACAGTTTTAACTAGAAAAACAGCAACTCCACGGAGTAGCAAATCCCACCGAACAAAACATATTATGCTTATTATAGCTAGTGTAAATGTTGAAATGTTTGTGCACTTTGAGATAGAAGCATGAAATTTGGCACAAAGTTAGTTTATACCATTGTGAACTAGGCATCATCATATAAAATTTGAACCAAATCTGTTCACTGGTATATGAATTATCAAAGATTACGTTTTTTTTAAAATATGGGCCGCCATCTTGAAAATTATTTCTTGAACATAGCTACTGTGTCCCTAGGCATAATCATATAAAATTTCAATCAAATCTGTTCACTGGTATTTGAGTTATCAAAGATTACGTTTTTTTACGAAAAATTGCCGCCATTTTGAAATTAAGCCGCCATCTTGAAAATGTTTTGTCGAACATAGCTACTGTGTCCCTAATAATCATCATATAAAATTTGAACCAAATCCGTTCACTGGTATTTGAGTTATCAAAGATTACATATTTTTACGTAAAATGGCCGCCACTTTGAAATTAAGCGGCCATCTTGAAATATTTTTTTGTGCGAAACTCCTTTGTCCCTAGGCATAAGCATTTCAAATTTGAACCAAATCCGTTCACTGGTATATGAGTTATCAAAGATTACGTTTTTTAAGGAATTTGGACCGCCATCTTAAAATTTCTTGAACAGAGCTACTGTGTCCCTAGGCATAATCATATAAAATTTTAACCAAATCTGTTCACTGGTATTTGAGTTATCAAAGATTACGTTTTTTACGAAAAATTGCCGCCATTTTGAAATTAAGCGGCCATCTTAAAATGTTTTGTCGAACATAGCTACTGTGTCCCTAAGCATCATCATATAAAATTTGAACCAAATCCGTTCACTGGTATTTGAGTTATCAAAGATTACATATTTTTACGAAAAATGGCCGCCATTTTGAAATTAAGTGGCCATCTTGAAAATCTCTTTTTGTGCGAAACTCCTTTGTCACTAGGCATCAGCATATAAAATTTGAACCAAATCCGCAACTAGTATTTGAGTTATTAAAGATTACATTTTTTACGAAAAATGGTGGCCATTTTGAATTCAGTGGCCATATTGAAAATTCCTTCTCGAGCAGAGGTCCTACACCCATAAGGCATAAGCCTATAAAATTAAAAAAAAAAGACGGACGGACGGACGGACGAAAGGACGAACGGACGGATGGACGGCTTTCCTATATCCCTCTCGAACTTTGTTTGGTGGGATAATAAAAGTTTAACCTTAATATCTGCATCCCACATCCTCTTGTCATAGCTGATAGACGCGTTAAAGCTCTCCATGATGGGGTCTACAGCTCCCGTGAATCTCCCTCCCCATAGTTTGTTACCCTGCAAACATCAAGAGATGCATGTAAGTGGTCTTGCAAAAAAGGGATAAATGTCCTCACAAGCATTTGACTTAAACATTTGGTTAAAAGTATTTAACATTTCTGAAATTGGAAAATGAAAAGAAATTACAACATGAAAACATAACAATAACTGCTGATAAAAACAAAAATTTCCTTTTTAAAATGAACAAGTTTTTCTCTTAATAAAAACATTCCCCCAACAAAAGAAGTTTTCCCTATGTACAAAAGAATCATCAACCTCTACCATTTCTCTATTTCTCTAGCTTGTGTAATTGAACCAGTCATTCTATAATTTAGATTTCAATTTTCAAATATAACTGACAAATCGGAGATTTACCTCTTTTTCTTGCGCCATAATGACTTTTTAAGGTCAGTGAAAGCACCAGCTGATCAATGTCATCAAATAACACCTGAAATGAACCAATTATAACATTTTTAGATGATCATCATGAACTAATGAACAATACAGGTAATAAGTGACTGGTATGAGAAGTCCAATAATTGTAGTGACTACTTTGAATCTGAAAAATAAGTTACTGAAAGACAACATTGCAAGTTCTTTATATAATGACCAGAGGGTGCCTCTGTAACAAGCTAGATACCGACATGAAAAGGGAGTGTGCTAAATTCAATGCCCCAAGCAGGAACCAAACCCAAGACCTTCCAGACCTTCGGAGTCTGATCCTCTATTCCTGAAACATCGAGACTCAATAAATTTATTCCAATGTTATTACATTGTGGGACTTTACTGCATACCTCGAACAAATCACTTATTTTCAGGTTTTTAGATTCAAAGTTGTCACAGGGAGTTGTATCTATGGATTGGAGCCAACATTCCTCTGAAACGTGGACTTAATATTATCCAGGATGTGAATCAAGATCCGGGATCACTGACTCTTGTGGGGCTATTTAGCACTATTTAAAAGGGGTTCTGCAATTGCTTGATATTGCAATTGCTTGATATTGATATTGCAATTGGTCATGTTAATAGTGTACCAATATTCAACCTGAATATCAAAAATTTATTGTATTATCAGGGCTTGCATTAACTCTGTCACATACATGTTAAGGACACAAAAAAAATTTGGAAGACACAAAAATGGAAAATATTTCTGTTTTTGGTAATTTTTTAAGTCAATACTACAGCACTGGTTTTAACATTGTATCAGTTCAATGTTAACTTTGGACAAAAGAACATTGTGAGAGTCAGCTTGAACTCTTTAAGTTTGAGAGAGTCAAAGAAAATCAGCTGACAAAATTAACCTTAAGGTAGAGTTTCGGTGAAAAATATGTTTTAAAATAAAGTTATAATTCAAAACAGGCTTGAAATGGGAGACAAACCTTTTTTTTAAAAATTGCTTCCTTGAGACTTACAAATTTTCAAACCTTCATAAACTTGAAGAATCATTTACCATATTATCTTGACAACTGTGTTGAAACCATACCCATTTCATCCTTTTCTGTCAAAAGTATCAGACAATTTAATGGGGATTCTCTGTCATTCTAACTATTAAGAAAATGATCATGTTGATAACGTCGACACAATGGGCTGTTCTCTCATTGTCTTTTAATTATAATGCGAGTGAATCATCTTTATAAAATACCACTTCTCTAATATTAATGTACTTGTTTCAGAAACGTTCATTCATGATTTTATTTCATGGGCTTTCCGAAAAGAAACTTGTGACCATATATGGTATGGGGTCAACCCAGTTGTCCGAAACCCAGTTGTCCGAAACCCAGTTTTCCGAAACCCAGTTGTCCGAAACCCAGTTCTCCGAAAATTAGAGGATCTTATTTGAAAAATACAATTTTTTTAAACGAATCTCGTTGTCGCAACCTCTGCGAATCACAACATAACATTGGAATAACGTTGACATCATTGCAAAATTAGGCTAAATATGCTAAGTCAAGACGTTAATTGTTTAATGTTTAGCCTACGAAAGTTCATATACAGGTGATATAGATGTTCAAACAAACAAAGTTAAATTATGTTATTCTCATTGTAAAATGGCGTTTACACAACATACATAGATAGGGGTCTACAATTTTTAAACCAATTTTCTTTATGGCCCATGGGCCTTTTTTGAGAGGGAACAACATTTTTCCAATGGGTGATGAGCGTTCATAAAAGGAAAAATAGCTTTCCCAAGCCAGTGGGCATTTATTTAGTAAAGTTGACATGTACATCTTTTGAAACCAAAACTTATTCTTCATTTACGTACTCTGTTTGAGAAATAGAGATTAAATTAAAAGGATGAAGTGAGTACATGGCGAAAATAAAACTTCTTGCGAATGGGAGAACATCCATTTTGATACGAGGACAGCCTGCCTTCGTTTCCAGTTGATCCCAAGTGATTAAGTTAAGAATGTTTTATTCTTAAAGTACTAAGCCTATGCGTAAACTTATTTTATCTGTTTCAAAATGACTCATTTTATTTTACCTATATAAAAGAGATTGAAGAAGATAAGATAAACTGTTCCGTAATATATATTGTGTTTTGATAACCTTTTTTTAGAATCACAATGTAAAATAAATCCCCCGTTCCTGCCATTCTGGTAACGCGTGCAATGGATGCAATTCAAAGTGAGAGAGAGAGAGAGATCTATGAACATCAGAATGCGTCCATCCCATTAATTTGGCCAAATACATGGCATGAAACTGGCCTAAGCTTAGTACGTCTCCCCTTTAATTTCTCTGGTAAATTATGACTATATTTTTCGGAGTAATGGGTTTCGGACAAGTGGGTTTCGGACAACTGGGTTTCGGAGAACTGGGTTTCGGAGAACTGGGTTTCGGAGAACTGGGTTTCGGACAACTGGGGTGCACCCATATGGTATATATTAACAAAAACAAAAAATGGCTTACTGTCAATCAAGACGTGAGAAAACAATTTTCTGATTTGTTATTTTCTAACATATTCTCTCGCCGCATCACAGTAACAATGGGTCTTAATGAAATAAAGAAACTATAGATTTGAACAGCAATTAATTAGCATTAATATAAGATAAATACAGAAAGACTGAACAGTTTTGATTTTTTGTGAAAATGTTCGTGAAATAAATTTAACTGTACATGTATTTTCATTGGTCGTTTCGTTTGTTTAATTGTATCATATCATGTGAACATCTTTGCTCGTATCAATATCCAAGAGTGTATTGTGAGATCCCTACTATTTAGCCAATTATCCATCATTAAAACATTCCTGAGATGTTTCGTATGTCACAGAAAATATGGTATCCAAGATGTTCTGATATGCAATTATTGGGACTAAATATACTTTGGAAACTGAAGTCAGTCAGAAAATTGGCAAATTAAAGGTCATGTCACCAATTCTTGTCCTCTAGCGGGAGGTGACGGGAACTACAAATAAATATAAAGGACCCACGGTCCTGTGCTCACACAGTTAAGTTACAATGTAAGTGCATTATATTTGATTAATCAGTATCTGAAAGTTTGATTTGAGTACTTTTACATTAAGTCCCAATCACGCAAATCTCTTGAATATCCCGGGTCGTCCTGCAAATTTAGATGGATGTCCCGCAAAATCCCGCAAATTTATGGCACTTTGTCTAAAAAATCTGTCCCTCTATGAAGTCATTGGTGGTTAACCTGTTAACTGCGCCGCAATTAGGGTGTTTGTCCCTCGAATGGTCCCGCGAATTTGATAAAAAAAATTTGGCCAATTAGCGTAATCATGCAAATCCCTTAAATGACCCGCAAATTTAGTAGATGTCCCGCGAAATCCCACGAATTTAGTAGATGTCCTGCAAAATCCCGCTAATTTTGGGCACTGGGTCTAAGAAATCTGTCCCGCGAGAAAATCTTTGGGGGTTGACAGTACTGTAAATCATTAATTAAAACGGGACCGGCTCGGCTCCTTGATGAGATATTGCATGATTTCGTCAGGATTTTGTCTAAAATTAAAATAAAATGGCTCCAAGAGAAATCGCGATATTCGAAAACTGGGCGAAATGTCGTTAATGTCTGACATTAGTAACTGGCTATAAATTCTAAGTTAGCGATCCAGAAGATGTGAACTAATACATTGATCACTTCAGGCGCGTATCGTGGTCATTTTGCAAGGGTACGCCCCCGTATGTGGATGTGATTCGCCATCATACCCCATACGGCCTTGAAGAAGCGTACAAGAATGACGCAACTCTTTGAATCACGAAAAAAATTGAATCTTTGAATCACGAAAACAGTGAATGACAATGAGGTAATCGAGAACTTATTGTTAATACACTTATACAACAAAGGTTTACACATCATCAAAGAAAATAACAGTAAAATACTGAATTTCATGTTTTTTTCAAAATATTTTTTCAAATTCAAACAGTACGCCTGGGCGTATTTTGCGTACATGACGATACGCGCCTGCACTTCATGTGTGTTTTGGTGTGTTTTGGAATTTTTGGTGGGGTAATAAGACCAAAACTCGTAATCCAAATTGTGATGTGGAAAAATGGCGTATATTTGATTTCAAATTTTATGATTACAACATGACCAGTTAAACATGCAGGAATTTATCTTTGGACGAAGGCCACAATACGATACAATGGCCTTAGAAGAAGGTATTCTAACTCGAGTAAACTGTATCATGTTCAACGATGGTGGGTAAGTGTGTATGAGGTGTAGGAGGTTTTTATACAAAGCCCTGGAAGTTGGAGAAAAACACTTCACAAGACAGTATATTTGAACGTTCCGTCAGCTGGCTTTTAAGCCAGCTGTGTTCAGTAACGTGTCGGTATTGTGAAACGAAAGTGAGAAAGTTGTCTCTAAAGTTGTTTTTTGACTGTACTTACGTGTTCTTCTGGAAGCACGGTGAACAAGCGTGTCAATTTTCCTGCAAGACAAAAGAGACGGTTCAAATTCACAGGAATAAGATATCTGCCAATCACCAGAGAAACTGCAACAACTGCAACTTCAACTTGAGACTGAGAGTCATAAAGTTTTTGGACCAAGTTTTTAATGACCTTGAGGAAGAACCTGTTAATTTTATCCTTGCTTTATGTCATTTATGAATCCTCTGACCTTGTTCAAATACTCCTAAATCATCAACTATTTAATCTCACAAAACCCGTACTTCTGTGCGTAAAATACCTTCAATATTTGTAATTAATTCCTTAATTACATTACATTACATATTACATATATTGACAGGTTCCTCGAGGCTTCAAACGTGAAGTTGAACGAGAGTACTAAAACACACCTCGGTGTTTACCGGGGCACTTGCCAAGGATAGACAGGCATTAAAAAAGGCCTAAAATAGACCCAGGGGCCTAGGAAGGTGAAAATTCAACGCTACGCCAAAAATATGAAACAATTGTGTCAAGTCTTTTATATCAAAACGCATTTTTTATGCTCGTAAAACGTCATTATGGCAATACCTTTAGTTAATTCTCATCTAAGGCCCAGGAATACGTTAAAAAGGCTTTTGTATAAAAAACCTCCTACCTCATACCCACCTACCCACCTACTGTACGTGGAACATGATGCAGTCATTGAAGGGTTCAATTTCAAGATCATTAAATCTCAAAATAGCTCAAATTATTAACATAGTCTACATTTCCGGCTTTATTTTATGACTAGACAAATGGCATCTCCATAAATAAAGGCATATGGCCTTGCATTTTAATGTGTAATGACCCGAGTGCGCCCTAGGGGAATAAATTACTGACGACCGCGAGCATAGGTCCAACAAGCCAGATAAGGAAATTGAAAGAAAGTGTGCTAAATTCGATGTCCCGAGTGGGAATCGAACCCAGGCGGGGATGAAGTAGCAACTTGCTATTGAATGAATATTTGTCCATCTACTCCCTTACCATTCTTAGTAACTTAAGAGTCATTATTCTTAATTACTTAGGATCAGTTTGCAGAACATGGCGTAGAATAATGGAAATAACGTCACAACGTTTGCGCGTAAATCGACATTTCATGGTCCAAAGATTTCAATGGAGAGCAGTCTTCATCAAAATTTAAAATCTTAATAACTTTTTAGCAAATCATTTATTTTCTTAGGATTCAACGGATCCTTGTTAGACCCAACGAAGTGTTCATTTTGATATATAAAAAAGCAAAATCCATCCACAGATCTTTCGGCCTTTTAATGATTTAATTTTCGGGATATTTTGCTAAAATCCCCCATTGACCGCCATTATAAACTTTGAAAAAACCCAAATCCTCATCATTTCATATCATTCGTGAAGTGATCTAAACAACTCCAATCGCTTAGGATTCAACGGATTCTAAGAGATCAAAGCTAATACAATATGGTGACAACCCCCGTTTCAATATTTGCCGCATAATCTTTCGGCCTCTTAGGTTATAAATTTGTCAATATTTTGATTTTCGACCATTAATGACGTACTTGGATCCGAGATTCATTGTCCCGGGATTCATGACGCTATTTCCATTATTCTACGCCATGTTCGACGATTCTGATGATGACTTTAACTATGGAATAAAAAGAACATCCTATGATTTACTCGTGATATGATTTTAATCCACTCATGGATATTGATATCTGCACTCTCTCGCTACGCTCGCTCGTGCAGATATCATATCCATTCGTGGATAAAAATCATATCACTCATAAATCATAGGATATATACAGAATATCACATTATTTTGAGTGATATCATTTTTTTCAACACGAGTGAGCGAAGCGAATGAGTGTTGATATTTGATATCTACGAGGCGATAATATATCACGAGAAATTATGTGATATTGGGTTTATCCCATGATTACAATCACATTGTGATGTTCTGATCCAATTTCCAGGACATTGGCAGACAATATAAACTAGAAATTAGAATACCAATTGAACATAATATGCACTACTTTCTGTACATGATATAGTTCGTCATAAATACCATTTTAATCGTTAGTTAGCAGCGTTCTAATCAAATTATATACACAACCGTAATTCAATACACCAATGAAACTTAAAAAGAATAAATTAACGGACCTATTTTCTCAAAAGAGAATAAATTATCTGACCTAATTTCCAACATTATTGTGGCGCGAAATGCAAATGTGATATCACACGGATATGCGTGAGATAAACGATATCACACGCATATGAGTTTGATAAACGATTTTCTGGAAAATATAACACGGATTTCAATAATATCAGAAATATCTATAGCCGTTATTGTACAGATAACACATTAATCGTGGGATAACCTCTATTTATCAAACTCATATGCGTGTGATATCGTTTATCTCACGCATATCCGTGTGATATCACATTTGCATTTCGCGCCACAATATTGTTGGAAATTAGGTCAGATAATTTATTCTCTTTAAGTTTCATTGGTGTATTGACTTACGATTGTGTATATAATTTGATAAGAAGGCTGCTAAATAACGATTAAAAATGGTATTTATGACGAACTATATCATGTACAGAAAGTAGTGCATATTACTGCGCAGTGAGTAAAGTACAAATCAAAATGGCTGACGAAGAATTGGCGAATTTCGACATTCACATGGGGAACTCTGAAGTTTCCGATGAAAATCAAGAGATTGATAACAGTGAGTTTGACAGATTCGGGAATGAGGATGTCTATGCATTTATTGCCAATCAAAATAACAAAAACACATTGCGAAAAACAGCGAGAGATATGAAAATACTTCGTGAATTCCTGAAAAAGAAAGCAGAAGACAGAGACATTCTCGATATATATCCTGAGACTGAGAGACTTGATGAGTATTTGGCTGATTTTTAGTCAATGTACGTAAGAAAGACGGAGGCGAGAATGAGCCTTCAAGTATACGGCAAATGATGGCTAGTGTTGACCGCTATCTGAAACAAGTATTGTAGTTTAGCAATGTACGTAAGATAGACGGATGCGAGAATGAGCCTTCAAGTATACGGCAAATGATGGCTAGTGTTTATTTCTGAAATTCAATTGATAGGCCTATTCTAATTTCTAGTTTATATTACCCGGAAATTGGATCTTAACATCACAAGGTGATTGTAATCATGGGATATACCTAATATCACATAATTTCTCGTGATATCATTTTATCGCTTCCTGGTCATCTCAACCCCAAGTCAACTTAACCCAGTAAAACTCAACCCCAAGTAAAGTCAGCCCCAGTAAAACTCAACCCCAAGTCAACTCAACCCTGTAAAACTCAACCCCAGTAAAACTCAACCCTTATATTTCTATATTTTGATTTACATTCTTAGACCACTGCCTTTTTAGATTATAGTTAATAATGAGTTTATCTTCAAAATGTCAACACAGTGGTACCAATGGGATTAAAATATGGGTCATTTTATTAATCTTGCAAGTACATTTAATTTTTGTAACTCGTGATTATTTGGAAAACTGGAACATCACCATTGCTTTCCAGGGGCATAGCCAGCTTTCAGTTAGGAGGGATGCGATCACCCCAAAAATCAGGTTTTCAGTCCGGGGGTGCCGATCGTGGCATAAGTGAGCCAAAAAAGATATGTTTTGACAAAAAAATGATGCAACTTCCTTCAAAATTGGGGGAAGGGTGTATGCGCACCCCTCCTGGCTACGCCTTTATGCTTTCAGTCTTTTAATTAGTGAATGTTAATGATTTTGTAAATTCATGTTGATATAAATAAAAAGTTATATTACATCGTTGATTATTTCTAAATTATCTAAAATTTGATTTCAAAAGATTTTTTAAATTAAATAATAGTGACAACTTGATGAATTATCCCTGAGCTTAACCGTTTTTTTTAATACTTTTACAACTTTCTATTCAAAGTATTATGCAAAATGCTAGATTTTCAGAAATGAATGACTTAAATTATTCATCATAAAAAAATTAAATTAGACATTGCACAAATGAATAGGGTTGAGTTTTACTGGGGTTGAGTTTTACAGGGTTGAGTTGACTTGGGGTTGAGTTGGACTGGGTTGAGATGACTTGGGGTTGAGATGACCTGTCACCATTTTATCGCCTCGTAGATATAAAATATCAACACTCATTTGCTTCGCTTACTCGTGTTGATATTTGATATCAACTCGGCGATAAAAATGATATCACTCAAAATGATGTGATATTCTGTATATATTGCCCTTTGAAATGACGTTATTGTACTATTGTTCTGTCTGCATGAGGTGATGTACTCTTCAAGTACTAAAAACTAAAGGAGACCGAATATTGAAGACATTGATTTCAGCGAATGGTGGTGGAGACATTGATCAGCAGTAGACTGATGAATGCAGCAATTATTAGCCACTTAATCTATCATGGACCTCGTTACCAGTTATGCCTGGGTCACATATGCTCCGATCCATCGGCAGGCGCCCGCCCGATTGAGTGTTTTGTTCAATATTGTATTCAATTTTGAACAAAATACTCAATCGGCCGGGCGCCGTAGTGAAAATCGGAGCATATGTGACCAAGGCATAACATATCAAAATTGACAAACCAAGTCCTGGTTAATAATAAATGCACCATTTGAATCTTTGTGCGAGACCCTCCACCAGGAACAAAAAATATTGGCCTGTTAAATTCTCCATCTTGAGTCAAAAGGACAATGCGAAGCATGCCATAGATTTCAAAGATATGAATGGTGCATTAATCTCGATCTTTTTCCATCTTGCATCATTCACCAAACAGTAAGAAAAGCTAACAGGATATATAATTCCATTGCAATTTATTTTCATCGGAGACAAACATCACTCCACCAATATGCATATACTTATCATTATTTCAACCTTTTTTTGCCCGGGGGTCAATTTGGGTAGGTACATGTATGTGCAGCACGTTCAATTTTGGCTTTGAGCATTAAACATGGAAATTGGCCAATCTGCAAAAAAAACATGGAAAATTGTTTTAGAAAGTACCCTTTTTAAGTCAAAATTCAGTTTTTCTACAGAAAATTGTATTAAATTCATTAAATCAGATGCTGAAGCCTGGAACAAATCACTAGAAAAGTTGATTTTAGTCATTTATTTGTCTCAGAGGAATTAAACATGGAAACCTTCAATCTTGAGAGGAAA